GCTTGCATTTTTGCTTACTGTTTTCGTTATTTAGAGCTTCTCGTGTCACTCCACACAACTGACAGACTTTTCTCCTTTAGATCTATTCTAAGGCACTAAAAAATGAGACTCTACACTTTATTTCTCTTCCGTCAGAGAAGAGACTGATGTTACATGCCAATGCACGTCACCACTACCTAATGATAAACACACCAACGGCTCTGGACCCGGCTGTACTTTTCCCTTTGATGCGGGCAGTGAAGGATTATTAAATGGCATTTCATTATGATCTATTGGCTAGATGTTAGTCATGGCATATTTTAGAGTAAGCCTGAAGGAAGTCAAGATAACAATGTCATTCCAAAGTCAAGAAAGCCATTGCACAAATATGAACAATCCCCAATCTCCTTTGCAGTTATTGATCTGCCAATGTCTTGCTTTGGCCAGTGCCATCTCACTTTTTGCTGCTAGCCTAGTAATTTTTAAAACCTAAAATATAATTTTTCGAGTTGATTTCCAGGACCGCTGTCTTTGAAGAAGGATTGATTACCTGACTGGATATAGAAGGGTCTTTTTAGTCTAGACTTTGTTTCTGACTCATTGTGATAATCTAGGCAGATCTTTTAATCTCTCTTAGTGCCTCACAACATCACTGTTTGGAAAGCCTTCCTGACAAGTTATCGCTTTCTTATTCCCAGTGTCCCCAAGCTTTAACAGGTGATGTCATTCAACAATCTTCGGTACAGAATCTCTTTGGGCAGTTCTTAATTATCTTGTGTTTCTGCTTTATAACTTCAGCTTTCCCCTTCCCTTAATCTTCTCAATTCTACCGCTTTCTACATTTCAGCTTTTCTTTCTGATGCAGCTAAGCCACTATCCATTACGGTGTATAATTTTTAATGGAATCCATTCCTAGCTAGTCTTTTGAAATGCAGTTTTGTAATTATATTAAAACTTAGTTCTCTCTTTTTCTAACTATGGCTTTTAAAACCTGTCAATGTTCTAATAGGAAGACATACATTTTAATTTAATAATTATATGAAAAACATATCCTATGCATACGCTCTTATAAAATTCTCATTAGAAGACTAGCCCTAGTGATAAAGATACATGATTGGTATAATTTAATAATAGCTACCATTTAAGGCTATTGTCTAACTAAGGCAAGTATAATATTTAATTTCTACCATAGTTCCCAGTGTGGACCACATTTTATAGGTGAGAAAACTTATGATCAAAGAGGTCATTGAACCATGGTTTTGTTTTCTTTGTTTGTTTGTTTTTATTCTTTCGAAGATACCCATTATTTTATAAATCCGGCATCCCTTTTTCTGGAAATTACTTCTCCCTTCAACATCCAATGGCTGTTAAGGCAACAGTCATGTTATGACAAGATCCTAGCCCCTGGCCCCTGAGCCTTTTCCCACAAAATTTTGTGGACTGAGGATTATGAGAACATTGGTTCAGGGTATTTTCATTTGTCAAGTTGTAATTTTAAGGCTTAGGAATTGTTGATGGCTGGTTTACAGCCACAGAGACTGCAAATGCTGGGGGAAGGCACCTGAAATAGAGAGACTGGGAAGCAGCATCCGAGCCTCTCTGCTGCTTGTTTTTTGCCCATGCATTCTTCAAGACATCCCTGTGTCCTGATAATAATCTCCCTTTTTATTTAAGTTCAAATTTGGTACAAGTCACTTGCAACCCCCAAAATCCTAATGTTTAAGACTGCTGGTCATCTTAACCATAAGAAAAGAAGATAATGCACTGACATCTGAGAGTTTTATTCAACAACTGGCTTATACTGGTTCCCCAAGTGTCTTCCAAAGCATGGATTGGCAGTATTCTCTGTTGAAGTGAATGACGAAAGAAAACATTTACTATTACAGATAGGGAATACTTAAGGGGGTCTTGGGACCAACCCTCCACGAGAAAGAGATTTGAGATTATGTAGTCCTCTTTGCTGTGTCTGACACCTCAGTGTATAAGCCGTGACAGGCTCCATAAGCATACATTTGGCTGTCACAATCATTTCACAGGCCATATGGGTGATTACAGAGTCCCTCTGCATGCTACTCAGAACTTATCTGTGTAAGCCTCTTTAGTCTCAGCACAACTGAAAAATCTGCCCCCCCCATCCCCCACAATGTTTAGGAATATAATACGGATCTATATTGTGTGGCCACCTAGACCTTCAGGCTTTACACAGGTGACAATTTGCTCTGGGGTTTTGTGAAAGAAAAAATCTTCATCCTACCTGACAAAAAGAAAGTCTTAACCCTACCTAATAATAGTTTAAGTCCTAAAAACAGTGATCAGAGACTGTATTAACGTCAGCATTGGAGAAGTTGTCTCCAAAATACGGAGAGAAACTAAAACTTGTGCAGAGAATGGAGGAGGACATGCATGTCATTCCAACCAACAGACTGATGACTCTGAGTTTACTAAGAATGTATTTCAAAATGCCCAGTCAACTTGTTTGGATGACTAAATCAGTCCATGAAAATAATGTATCTTCAGTGCTTAGACATAGGCCTACTTATTGTCCAGAAAGTTTTCTTCCTGTCTAATCCAAATAATACTTCTATTGCTCTCACCCATTTTTCATACTTTTGCTCATGGAGAACGGCTACCTGGTTTCTCTTTGTCCTCCAATTCTACCTTTTAGTTCCCGCCCATAGGTTCTAGTTTCCATCCTTTAGTTACTCTTAATTAAATAAAAACAAAAACAAAAACAAAACCCTCCTTGCAACAAAATTAACATAGTTTCTACTGACTTAGTAGACATTTGCCAAGCTGGTGAAAATTACACACTAATTCCCCCACAGAGAATTTGGTGGAATAAAGTGCATCCATCTGCTATTATTTGTAGGTTGTTATGTAAAAGTGGTTATGCTTGCCCTCCTTCACCCCAGCTTTTCTTGTATGTGGTTCCTCTCTCTTTCTCTCTCTTTCTCTCTCTCTCTCTCTCTCTCTCTCTCTCTCTCTCTCTCTCTGTGTGTGTGTGTGTGTGCGAGAGAGAGAGAGAGAGAGAGAAAGAGAGAGAGAGAGAGAGAGATATTTAGAGAGAAAGAGAGAAGAAGCACCAGGCAAGCTAGCTAGCAGATTGGAGAAAAACATCTCTGTGGTTATGCTAGTAAAGCTAGGCCCCTACTGGGACAAGCAGGGGTCTCTAAGCTGAGTGCTGAGCTTTGTTCTGGGAGCCAGCCAAGGCCGTGGCTAGGTTGGTGGGAAAGGAGACTGGGCCTGTGGCATTTGTGATGAGTGTGCCTGAGTTTCCCCCCAAGCACAATTAGAGACAGACCTGTAGCTGGCCTGGAGTGTTTCGGCCAAGCAAGTTGGTATTAAATCACTTATTTTCCTCCCCTTTTATCCCTCTCAGGTTTCTTTACACGCTCTCTAAAATTCAGACATCTAAACAGTCCCAGAAAGGGGAGAAGGACATGGTGGCCAGTGTTCATGACCTTTAGGCAACCTTCCCTCTCATGCTCTCTGTGGTCTGATATTGTTTACAAAGATGGACTATGGTAGGAAGGCCTCCCGTTTAAACAACTAAGTGGTAGCCCCTTTGGAGATCAGAATTGTTTTAAATATGAAAATATTAAGTTCTGACACCTCTAAGGAAATGGTTGTTCATTTTGAGTATTTATAAACTAAAAATATAACCATTTCTTTGAATTAAAACCCTTTATTATGGTCTCATTATTTGTAATAATTTTAATAACAATGAAAGCTACAGTAGGGCCATGTTTTCTGTCTGGCAGAGATAAACAACATGAAGTTTTCAGGATTTGTAGCTGTCTTGCTTAGCCTATAGATTGGAAAGGGGTGGGAAAGCCAAAAGTGGTGTGTCCCCACATTTCCCACAATTTCAAACATAAGGGAGAAGCAATTCTCTTTTTGTCTAATCAGCAAAGATAAGCTTATACTTAACTTATTTCTGGATCTCTAAGTCATTTGTTTAGCTCTGGAAGTTTGCTGACGAAGAGCTATAATAAAGCTTCTGGGCAGTTCTTTCTATCAGAGTATTAAAGTAATCCAGGTATTTGAAATCGTGAAATGGAATGACTTCACGTGGTTCAGATGGATACTAAGGTCATGGCTGCAGTTGTCAGGCCCTAGCGTACGTCCATCGCGTATACATTCAGAGCTCAGCTAAAATCCAGAAGTCCACAGACACCAGAGTTAGCTTCTCATAAAGGAATTGCTTACAAGAAACTGGACCAGGATAAAGCAAAGATTAAGGGACAGAAAGAAAGCTTGAATTACGTTACTGCAATACTCTGTAAAATCAGAATTCAACTTCTGTTCAGCTTCTCTTTTGAGCTGAAAACACCTCAAGTTTCTTACTGAGAGGCATGAGCAATTGCATGAATATTATATTTTCTGACAATTTCCAGCACAAGTCCATCCAAGGTTATGTGACAAGGCTGCATGATAAGGTCATATGTGTCATATGCATGTGTGTAATGTTGTCACTTTGCTTTGCAAGACTAGAAACCCCCTGAATAACCATAGAAAAGGATAACTCAGCATTTGGCAGGTCAAGTAAAATGCCTTCCATTATTCTCTACCCCTACCTCATTCTTTCTCCCACACTTTAGTTCACTAAGTTTTAAGAGCCTGAAATCATTCTTGGTGAATGTTGGGTATTTTATGCATGTGTGTAATGTTGTCACTTTGCTTTGCAAGACTAGAAACCCCCTGAATAACCATAGAAAAGGATAACTCAGCATTTGGCAGGTCAAGTAAAATGCCTTCCATTATTCTCTACCCCTACCTCATTCTTTCTCCCACACTTTAGTTCACTAAGTTTTAAGAGCCTGAAATCATTCTTGGTGAATGATGCTGACCGCTCTGAAAATTTGGGGCTGAAAGCTAGACCCTCGTCATCACCACGTACGTTGTCACTGAGACAGGGTAACCCATGGTTACTGAGCTCAGATCACTTAAGGGGCAGAGAGCCTTCTCTCTTTGCTGCTTTATAAAAGAGACTCAGCTAAGGGACCCTACCAGATTCCAGCTCTCAGCTTGGGCGAAGGTGTGGAAGCAAAGCCTGAGACCTCGGGAGCAGAACACAATAGCTGCAGAGGCAAGGCCAGCATGTCTCCTTCCTTCAAACTTCAATGTCACTTCATTCTGATCTTTCTGGTGGCTCTAAGAGGGGAAAGCAGGTACCTAGAGGTGAGCGATCCCCGAACTGACCCATCACACCTTCCGGTGCCGTGAGTGTCCAGCCTTGGGGGTGGGCAGACTGCTTGGGTTCTTGCCTTTGTTGGGTTGGCTCTTCCCTGTCTTTTGCGCTGTTATTTCCCTTGCTTTCCTCCAAGACTGGCCTTCCTCCTTGCCTCTTCCTCCTTAGCTCCCGCCGCTGGGGATACCCTGGTCTGACGGAAATGATCCCATCACTTTATTCTCTTTGCTGTGGGGCAGGGAGAGTGCCCTGTTCCTGGTCCCCTTTCCCACCCCTTGAACTTTTCTTGACTGGTCCATTTTCCTTGCCAGCTGCGGCAAGCCGCGGACCACGACCCTTTCCAGTTCTTCAGCGCCAACCTGAAGCGGGAGCTGGCGGAAGAGCAGCTCTACCGCCGCGCTCTGCGTGAGTCGGGGCTGCGGGGCTGGGTCCACCCGCAGCGGCAGCTGGGAGGTGGGGAGGTTGGGGCTCTGAGCTGAGGGCAGGAGGCTCCAGGGCATCGCCTGGAAGGGACTGGCTAGGATTCCTATCGTTAAAGGTCTGTCCTGAGGAGGCACACTGGGGCGAGATGGAGTGATGCGCCCTGGAATGCGGGAGCCTCACAGCCGATGCTGGGAGTTGGGCGCGGGGCGATGCAGACCCGGGAATGGGGAGCACGGAAAGGGGTGCCCGGGGCCAGCATTGCCGTGTCTGCAGCCTGAGACCCCGTCCCCGCTGCCCTCCCCCAGGGTGCCTGGACATGCTGAGCGTCCAGGGCCAGTTCACCTTCACTGCCGACCGGCCGCAGCTGCACTGCGCTGCCTTCTTCATCAGCGAGCCTGAGGAGTTCATCACTATCCACTATGACCTGGTCTCCATCGACTGTCAGGGCGGGGACTTCCTGAAGGTGAGGCGTCCCACTGAGCAGCCCCAGCTGTGGAGCATGGGAGGGGGGAGTGGGCCGGGATGCTGCACTCAGCGAGGGTTGCCGAGGTTGGGGAGCTGCTGATAATTAGATGCTCCACTTGTGCTGGAATGGGAGGCACCCTCCAGGACCCCCATGCGACGGGAACCTCCCCCAACTTCAAGATCTAGCCACAACCCGGAAGGACCGGTGCTTCAGATGTTGCAGTGGTTTGAAATCCCCAATGTGCACTCTTGGGGACGGACCCTTCTAAAGGCTTGAAATAGCTTGGTTGAACG